ACGCCCCAGAAAGCCCCCCTCTCTTTGCTCTCTCTCTCTCTCTCTCTCTTCTCGCATCCTCCTCTTCCGCTGTCTTCTCCTCCCTCTCTGGGCGTCTCCATACCCCTCTCTCTGGTGCCGACCTCTCCCTCCTTCTGCTCACCTTCCCCTCACCCTCTCTTCCACTCCCTCCTGCACACACCAGCAAGCCTCGACCCCGCCCCCACTTCCCCACCCTACGGTCGATCAGGGGTGGCAGGAGAGACCTCCCCGACAGTAGCCCCAGGTGAAGCCCCAGATCACCAGATCAAGGCCCCAGAAGGCTCGTCTCCCCTTCTCTCCTCTCTGCCCCCACCTCCTCCTCCTCCCCCTCCTCCTCTTCCCCCGGGGGCTTCCGCCCTCCCCGCCCCGGTGCCGCCCTCGCCCCCCCCTTCTGCCCGCGTCGGCGACGTCCGCGAGTGCTGGGCCGACGCGTCGACCCGCCTGCCGTGGACGTTCTCCTCGGGTGCACGCGGGTCTGCTACAACGCCGGGATCAGCGCGTGCCGAGAGGGCGGGCAGTGGCAGCGGGCCCTTGCGCTGCTGTGGGGCATGGCGGTGGCGTCGCGGGAGCCCGACGTCATCAGCTACAGCGCTGGGATCAGCGCCTGCGAGAAGGGCGAGCAGTGGCAGCGAGCTCTGGCGCTGCTGCGCGAGATGAGGGAGGCAGCGTTAGAGCCCAACGTCATCAGCTATAACGCTGGAATCAGCTCGTGTGGAGGGCAGTGGCAGCGGGCTCTTACGCTGCTCAGCGAGATGAGGGAGGCAACGTCGGAGCCCAGCGTCATCAGCTATAGCGCTGGGATCAGCGCGTGCGAGAAAGGTGTGCAGTGGCATCTTGCTTTGAAGCTGCTGAGCGAGATTTGGGAGGTGAAGTTGGAGCCCGACACTGTTAGCTACCTTGCTGCGATCGGCGCATGCGAGAAAGGCCAGCAGTGGCAGCGGGCTCTTGCATTGCTGAGTGAGATGTGGGATGCGAAGTTGGAGCCCAACGTCCTCTGTACTACAATTCTGGGCGTTGCTCGTGCGGCAAGGGTAAGCAGTGAAAAAGCTGTCCCCGAGCGCCCGAAGCGAACGGCCTCATACGGCTCCAGGTCATTCCGAGATCGCACCAAGATTTCACACGAGGCCAGCACAAGAACCTAAGACAGCGAGCGAGGGCTCCAAGGCGGCCCTGAGCAGGTCCTAGAGAGCCTAACAGAGCGTCAAGTTGCCCCCCAAGACGCCCCAGGAGCTGCCTGGGAGGGCCCAAACAAGACTGCAGACGGCCCCAGACCCTCACCATGGCCCGAAGATGGCACACGGGGCGCCTGGCACGGCCCAAGAGGGCCCACGAGGACGACTCCGAACACGGACCCACGAGACCAGAAATCAAACAAAAGCCTCGTGTGATGGGCCAAGAACGGCTCCCAGCATTTCTGCGACCGCCCCGCGATGGCCCAAGAGGCCCCGACGAGCGCACCGAGACGGCCCAAGAGGGCCCCGAGCTGGCCCAAGACAGACCCCCGACGGCCCAATTCATGCCGTTCCAGGTGGCCTCCCGAGACGCCCCAGGAGCTGACGAGCTGCCCAAGGGCGCGGCCTCAGACCACCATCCTAGCCCCAAGATTGTCCAAGAGGCTTTCGGGATGGCCCCATGGGGCCAACGAGAACCCCGATGACGGCCCCACGAGGGCACAGATCAAGCAAAGGCCTTGTGTTTTCAAATGTTTCTGCACAGTCTCCCAGTGACAGGTCCAGAACAACCCCACGCGGCTTCAGGCACTTCTACGATCACCCCAAGATGGCCTGTGGGACCCCGACCGGCGCACCAAGACGGCCCAAGAGGGCCCCACGCCCCCCAAGGCAAGCCCCAGACGGCTTGATCGGGCATCAGGTGGCCGCCCGAGACGCCCCTGGAGCTGCCCAAGAGGGCCCCAACCGAGCTCCAACACGGCCCCAAACCCTCACCAGGGGCCCCACGACGGCCGTACAGGCCCCCTGGGTGGCCCGAGAGGGCTCCAATGTTGTTCGATGTGGCCGCGCAGTGGCCCAAGAGGGCTCCGCGAGCTGTTCGAGAAAGGGATGGCCCACGAGGGCACCCCAGCACGTCTCCAGCCCCCTCTCGCCGATGAGGGGTGACGCGGGGCACCTTTTCTTGCCTTCTCTGCCTCCTCGGCGTCCTCCTTTCGGAGCCTGCGCCCCCCCTTTCTGGTACCGCTCTCCTCCTCATCCTCCTCTTCCTCCTCATCCTCCTCCTCCTCTCCTCCTCCTCCTGCGAAAGGATGCAGCGAGACTGGACTACGGGCTTCCTGCAGGAACCCTCCAGCGAAAACTCCGAAGTAGCCCAGACCCTCCCAAGACACTCGCAGATAGCCTCCAGCCCCCGGAGCCCGGAGCCTGCAGGAAACCCCGGAGCGTCCCGAGCGCCCACGCGTCGCCTACGAACGGCGGCACGTGCGCGTTCGGGACCGAGACTCGACTTGCCAGCCGTGGTCTTTCCATGGATTCACACTGGTCTGCTACAGCACTGGGATCAGCGCGTGTGACAAAGGCAAGCAGTGGCAGCCGGCTGTGTCGTTGCTAAGCGAAATGTGGAATGCGCAGTTGGTGCCCGACATCGTCAGCTACAACGCTGGAATCAGCGCATGTGGTGGGCAGTGGCAGCGGGCTCTTGCGCTGCTCAGCGAGATGAGGGAGGCAACGTCGGAGCCCGATGTCATCAGCTGCGAAGCTGGAATTGGCGCGTGCGATAAAGGCGAGCGTGGCATGCAGGTACTGTTGCTGCTCGGTGAGGTGAAGGACACGGTCCGGTAATTAGTTGAGCAGCATCAGTTACAGCATTGGGATCAGCGTGTACGGGAAAGGCAGGCTGTGGCAGCGGGCTCTGGCGCTGCTCAGCGAGACGCGGGGTGCGAAGTGCGAGCCGAACGTGTTCAGTGACAGTGATGGGTTTAGCGCGCAACACATGCGAGCTGTGGCAGCGGGCCCTCGCGATGCTGAGCGAGATGTGGGAGACGAAATTGGAGCCCGACGTCATCAGCCACAGCTCTGGGACCAGTGCGTGGAGAAAAGCGAACAGGGACAGCTGGCCCTGTTGCTGATGAACGGGAGGAAGGATGCGAAGTTGGAGCCCAACGTCAGGTGCTACAGCTCCAGGACCAGCGCGTGCGACAAGACTGCGCTGTGACAGCGTGATTTTGAGGTGCTGAGGGAGGTGTTCGCTGGTGACCTTACAGTCGGACCAAGGTAGACGATCCAGGTCGGTTCGGTGAGGGTGCCCTGATGTTTCTCGTGCTTGCCGGATGTTCGTCTTGGCATCGTTCGGACGTGTGCATTCGTACCATCGACGAGCATCTTGGATCATCTTGCGAAAATGAACTCACGAAACTGAAACATGCACCGGGGATGGACGTCCGAGCGATGGCGAGTCTTGTGCATCCTGGGGAGGGTACCTTTGGATGTTCTGTGTGTGTGTGTTTCGGCCGGCGGACGGTCTCACGGCCTTGAAGGATGTTCCTCTGTCCCAGGTCCGCCCGTAATTTTCTCTCCCGCGGAGGCTGCGACGTTCTGGAGCCAAGAGGTGTGCCCTCTTCTTCGGGGGCCCTCCTTAGAGGCGCCCTCGACGGCGCCTGCACTCGCGCGGCGTGGCTGCCGTGTCTCTCGCCGGCGGCCTTTCTTTGTTGCGTGCTCTCCGAACGTGTTTGTTGGAGGGCGGGGGCTCGGACAAAAAGGCGCTCTGGGGGGGAGGGCGAGGCTTCCCCTCCCCCTCCCCCTCCCCTTCTTTCTCCTCCTCCTGTCCCCGCCACCCGAGGAGAAACCCTAGAGGGCTCCCCTGGAAGGCGCGACGCGGCGGCTTCCATCCAGGCCTCACGAGTGGAGCCAGAACGGACGGGGTCGGAGGATCGCGCCGCATCGCCAATGCATCGGCGGTGCGGCTCGATGTGGCGCCCGTGTTCTCCACGCCGACGGTGCCGGTGCATCGCCGACGCCGTCGATGCATCGGCGATGCATCGGTGAGGCGGTGCGATTCTCCGACCCCTTTTACTCGGACCCCATTCGAGAGGCCTCCGTCTCAAGACCTCGGCTAATTAGCGCCAGGCCCCCACTTTACAGAAGGCTGGCGCCTGGCCCCCCTCTTGGCGCGCGGTCAGCGGCTGGAGACCTGCAGAAAACCGCCTGGAGAGGCCAATATGTTCCCAGATCTTCTGCTATGCGAGTTTTTCAATCCAGCTGTTTTTCCTTCATTTCGTCCTCCGTTATCGCACCTTGGTCCATCAGCAACACTGGGTCCGGGACGACAAACTACCCCCTGCGAAGGAGCCAGGAGCTCTGGGGCCGCGCACGGGAAAAACACATCCGAGGATGTCTCGGCTTCTATCGGTGCCACACAGTCGTTGAGAGTTGCGCCCCCCAAGTGAGGTCAGCGCCGTGCCACCCAGTGTTGGCCGAGGCGGCCATGTCATGTTCCGTGCGCTGCAGGCCCTTTTGAGGTCCCCAGAGCGTCGGCCCACGTGGGGGGGGAGCGCGAGGGGGGCGCCCTTCTAAGAAGGCGGCTGGGGCCATTCTTGGAAGCCTCCCGCCTCCCAAGAAGGCTTCTCGGAAGCCCCCGAGCCTTTCTAAGAGGGCCATTGCCTTCGAAGGAAGAGCCCCCCGCCCTCGTGTCGGGCCGCCTCTCCTCGCGCCCACCCCCCTGCGCGCGCCGCCAGTCATCGCCACGCTGCCGCGGCGTGGCGTTCACTTCGATCGCGGTTGTGGATCCAGTGAGTCGGCCCGTCTGATACAGCCGCACGATAAGGATACAAGGGCCTTGGAAGGCCATGTCGACACTTTGCGAGCGGGGCGCGGCCAGCGAAAGCGGCCAAGGAAGGGGCGAAGGGGAGGATGCAAGGGAAACCTGGTAAAGCTGCGCATCCTTACTATGCTGGTTGATTGTAAGTCAGATGCATGTGTCGATGGAGTGCATGGCTTTTGGGGCCAGCGGACGTCACTTGCCTCTCCCAGGACTTGGTCTTGCTGGCCGTGCAGGGCAAGGCGGCTGGCTTCGAGAAGGTGCCCGCAGAGCGGGGAGGAGGGCCAAGTTAGGCTCTTGTCTTTCAGGGTCCTCGCTGCAGAGTCTTGAAGAGTCGAGCTAGGACTCCCAGGTGGGGTCGGAGCAGATGGGGTCGGAGGATCGCGCCGCATCGCCGATGCGGCTCGACGCGGAGCCCGATTTGTCTTCGCGTCGACGTCGCCGATGCATCGCTGACGTCGACGATGCATCGCCGGTGCATCGCCGATACATCGCCGATGCATCGGCGATGCGGCGCGATCCTCCGACCCCATCTGCTCCGACCCCATTTAGGAGGCCTCCAGTCGAGTCACATGTTCAGAGTGGCAGTCATCGCGGCCTGGCCGAAAGTCCCTCTGCGTGCCGACGCCCATCGGTCTCCGTGTGAGAAGTTGCCCGTGGGCGTCTTGGCACGCAGAGGGTGAGGGTGTGCGTGGTGGCGGTGGGCGGTGGCACGCAGATGCTGCTGGCGACAAGTGTTTGAAGGCCCACTTGTATCCGTCGATGGCAGGCTTCAAACTTGACTCTTCCAGGCGGGCGTGTCCGCGTGTTACGTTTTTTGTTTAATTAAGTTCATGGCCTTCCAGAGTAGATGTACTGTCTCACTGGAGGAGGAGGAGATGGAGGTGAAGCAGAAAAAGGAGGCCTCTTGGGGCCTCCTGAGTGCCTCTTGGAAACATCTGGTGAACCTCTTTTTGACCTTCTGGCCGCCTTGGGGTCCTCTTCGGGCGCTTTATTTAAAGTCATCTTGGAGGTGTGTGGGGCCGTCCTGTGGCCGTCTGGGGGGCTCTTGGGCCGTCTGGGGGCTTGGAGGTCACTGAGGGCGTCTTGGCCCGTCTGGAGGCTACTTGGCCGTCCTGGAGGAGCTTTCGGCGACTGGGGGCCCCCTTTCTTGGGGGCCTCTTGGAGCCCGCTGGGCTCGTTGTGGGGGCCTCTATCCTCCCATAATGCGTTGGGGCCGGGCCCATGGGATCTGGGCGGACCCCCCTCCCTCCAAATCGACCGGACCAGGGTATGGGGGAGGGGTCGGGAGAGGGTAAAGCATTTCACACGTTGAGGACATTCCAAGGGGTCGGGGGATTTTGACGCCACGTTCACATCGCAGTGTTTTTTTTTCTGAGATGGATTGTGGGCCTGCGCACACGGGGTAATATGATGCCCCCTGCCGTCGTGTAACGGACCAATGCACAATGAGGGCGGGACGCCCGAAGATGATCCAGGTTATGTTGCGACATGAACTGTGTCTCTTAATTATCGTGATGGCCGAGATGGTTAGGGGGGTTTTCTTTGACACGGGTCGGCCGTCGGTCGAGTGGGCGGGTGTCTATTAGCCCACCGACGCCCAGATGTCTGGTGGGATGTTATTTGCGGGCGTCGTTGCTGCTTTCGTGTAGGCTGGAGGGCCTTCGTCGCAGGAACTACACGCGTTTTGAAAGCTTGGTCGGGACGATGCTCAGGAGAAGCTTGTACGTTTGGGAGCCGTCGGGGCCGTCTTGGAGCGAGATATGGGCCGTGTCGGGGCCCTCTTGGACAAGCGACCGCGTGCCCGCCAGAGGTTCCCCCCAGGCCCCACGGCAATCGCGGCACAGCCCGCACGGGCAGTAGTGAATTCTGCGCCTCCTGGAGGCCTCTTGGGAGCTTTTGTCGGGCCTGTCGCAGCTCCCTGGGAGCGTGTTGCGGGCTTCTTGGGGCAGCCGGGGGGCGGGTCGGGGTCGAAGGCTCGAGATGTTCGTTCGGGCTCCCCGTCTGGGCCCCCTCTTGGGGTTGTCCTGGAGCCCCTCTGGGCCGTCTTGGGTGCTTCTTCAGCGGCCTTGGGGCCCTCTTGGGCCGTATGGAAGCTCTCTTAGGGACTTCTTGGGCCGTCTTAGGGCGATCCGGGAGGCTTCTTGGGCTGTCTTGGACGTTGCGAACGCACACGCAAATGTACTGAAAACGCGCGTCTTCCGATGGGAAGGGGGCGATTGTCGCTCTTTGAGGCCGTCTTGGCACGCCTCTTGAGGGCTTCTTGGGGCGTCTTGGGGGCCTTTCGGGCCGTCGTGGGGCCAACGTGGGCGTTTTCGATCGATCTTTCGGTGGCTCGGGGCCCTGTTGGACCGTCCAGAGGGCGTGTTGGTTGCATCTTGGTGTGTTTTCTATGTTTTTTTGAACGGTCTTGGGGCACTCTTCGGTCGTCTTGGGACGCCCCTTGAGGGCGTCTTGGAGGCCTCTCGGGCCGTCGTGGGGCCAGCGTGGGCGTTTTCGATCGACCTTTCGGCGGCTCGTGGCCCTATTGGACCGTCCAGAGGGCCTGTGCCCTCTTGGCCTCTTCTTGGGCCCCCTCGTGACGCGTTCCTCCGGTCCCCGCGGACGCCTCCCCCCCCTTCCCTCCAAATCGACCAGACCAGACTCCCAAGGGAAGGGTTTGGGGAGGGGGGGAAATGTCACACGCTGGCGCGATCTGCCGAGACCTCACTGGTAAGCTTCAAGCAATATTCAAACTGTTGAAGAATTTGGCATGCCATGCACCCCTTTGCTTGTATAGTGGTTTTCGACCCATCCCGCCACCGTGGATGCCACCGTGGCTGTAGGTCAGAGGCATGTTGGATGCCTGTTGGGATATCTTGGGAGGCCCCTCAGAAGCCTCTTGGAAACGGTTTTGGGGGGCCTTCGGGCATCCAAGGGCCTCCTGGGGCTTGATTTGTACCTCTTTGGGGCCTCCTGTGGCGGTCTCGGGGGTCATCTTAGGGCGGAAAACACAACATGTCAGTTCGAGATCCCCCTCTTGAGCCGTTTTGGGGGCCTCTTGGACTGTCTTGGCGTGTCTTACCTTCTGGGGGCCCTCTTGGGGGCCTCTCGGGGCGATCTTAAATGCCCTTTAAGCCGTCTCGGAGCGTCAGACGCCCGAAACGGCGAGAACGCGAAATTCTTCAAATCCTCAAGAGCATATGTGATTTTGCCATTTCGGTACCCTTTTGGGGAGCTTCTTGGAGCCATCTTGGGCGTTTTGAAGCGCTCTTGGGCCGCTCCGGGGCTCTCTGTGGGCATGCGAGGCGGTTCTTGAGACATTCTCGAGGGCTCGGGTGGTCGTCTCGGGCCAGCTCGGCTTCCTGCCCAGAAGGTTTCTCAGAGTGAGGGGGCGAGCGGTGTTGCACTGTCCCTGGGTGCGTGGCTGAAGTTCGGCGGCGAGCGAGGGGGGGAAGTGAGAAGGAGAAGGCCTTCTAAGAAGGCGGTGGTGCTTCTCAGAAGCCCTCTGGCAATCTGAGAAGTTTTCTGTGTCTTCGGGGAAGGCTCAGAACACTTCTCAGTCCGAGCCTTCTGGGAAGGCCTGCCCCCTCTGACTTCTTTCCTGGGAGCGGTGCCGAGAAGTGGGGCTCCGCTGTGCGGATTACCGTCGTTGTCGTGGTTGCCGCCGTCGGGCCCTCACCCGCCCGCGATTCGCCGCGCGCGACACGCCCCCCGACCTGCGACCCGACCCGCGCCCCGCCCGATCGGTGGCGTCGGCCACTCTGCACGGCCCCGCCGGGAGCCTGGGGCCGCCACTTGCCAGTGTCCTCCCTCCGCGGTCGCCCCTCCACTCGAGCCACTTGTCTGGGGCTGATTGGCATCCGTGCGGTCCGCCGTAGCCCCGACCACGCCGCGTCCCACTGCGCCTAGGTTCGGACTAGATGCGGTGCGTATGAATGTGTGAATGTGTGTGTGTTTGTGTTTTTGTTTGTGTGCTTGTGTGTATTCTACGCCCTGCCGCTGCGCGCAGGGCTGCGACGCCAACAAGTGTGTGTGTGTGTGTGTGTGTGTGTGTGTGTGTGTGTGTGTGTGTGTGTTTGCGAGTGTGGATATCACGGCGGGAGCAATGCTATCTTCCAGATGTCCTTGCCCCCCTCGTCGCTTCAGGACGCTCCCTGCCGCCTCCTCGCTCGTTCGTCCGCGCACATGCCTCAGGCCCTGATGCGCTATCCCCCTTCTTCCTGGCTCCCCCACTTCGGCGCACCAGCTTACTTATCCAAGACGCCTCACGCCCATGCCGGCTCTCGCCGGGCGAGCCGAAGTCGGCCCCAACATGGGGTACGACGGCAGCCCAGGAGCGGCGAGGGAGGGCTCTTTAGGCGTGTGATGTTGTGCCCCCTCTTACGTCGCACGCTCCTCCACCCAGTCCATCGCCAATTGGACTCAAGGGGAGGTGAACGGGAGGAGGTGAACGGGAGGAGGAGGAGGAGGACGACGAGGAGGAGGAGGAGGAGGACGACGAGGAGGAGGAGGAGGAGGAGCAGGAGGACGAGGAGGAGGAGGAGAACGAGAGGACGAGACGAAGACGAGGAGGAGGAGGAGGAGGAGGAGGAGGAGGTGGTGGAATCGGAGGAGACGGAGCAGGAGGGCAAGGAGGAGGAGGATGTTCAGCGTCAAGGGGGTATCAGTCAATCCTCTCCGATCCCCTCTGGCTGACCCGGGTTTGGGAGGCAAGGAGCGCCCCCCCCTCTCCACGCCTTCCGCTGGCTCGGGTGTGGAGGCTAGTTTCCAGGAGGAGGAGGAGGAGGAGGAGGAGGAGGAGGGATTGGAGGAGGAGGAGGAGGAGGAGGAGGAGGAGGAGGAGGGAGGAGGAGGGAGGGGAAGGGGGAGGAGGGGGGAGGAGGAGGAGGAGGAGGAGGAAGAGGAGGAGGAGGAGCATGAGGAGGAGGGAGGAGGAGGCGAGGAGGAGGAGGAGGAGGAGGAGGAGGAGGAGAAGGAGCCTGGATGACAAGTTGAGCGCATCCCCAACACTTGGCGCAATGTGTCCTGGCTGTTCAGGGCTTTTTGGGAGAGCTCGTGCTCGTGGGCCCTTTCGGAGGCGTCCGGAAGCGACAGGTCGAGGAAGCAGACACTGTTGAACGTCGACTGGTTTGAGTGCCTGTCTGATCTCTGGTCTTACCTGATGTCTCTGAGGGTCCCGTCAGCTTTTCCCGAGGCCTCGTGGGCGTGCCGGAGCCCTTTTTGAGACGTCTTCGAGGACATATTGGAGGCGTTGGAGGCTGCATTTGGAGGCTTGGAGAGCCCAGAAAGTGTGTTGACGAGCTTGTCCACTTGTCCACCCCCTCTCTACCAGGATTTTGGAAAGAGAGGTAATGGTGAACAGATGGCGGGAACCAGCCAAACACATCTCACACGCTCCCCTCCCCCCTCCCCAGAAAGGGGGGGATCGTCTACTCGATTCGCAGAAGAGAAAAACATAAACATAAAGTTGATCCGCGTTGGGCTCCCATTGGCGGCGCCTCCAGCGCCGCCCCTGGCGCAATCTTCGCGCCAGGGATGGAGGTTCCAGGGCGGATCCAGCAAATCCGCGTGGACCTTTGTGTTGTTTGTTTGTCCAGTGTGTGTATGTGTGTGTGTGTGTGAATGTTTGACATGATACTGTCCGAGCGCCAGGGATAGCACCTCGTCGCCACACTACCTATATGCACAACTGGATGTGTCCAGTTATGGGCACCCACGTGTTTGGGTTGACGTCATGGCTCTACAACGTTTTCTTTCTGATCCAGGTCCGCGGCGAACTTATAATGTACGAACACAGTCATGTTCACCTCGTCGGATTCAAGTATGTTCTGCCTACGCACACTATACATAGACATGCTTCTGTGGCATAATGGTGTTTCGGGGGGTGCGCTTAGCAAGTGGAGATTTGGAAGGACGTTGTATACCAGTTTGATCATCATCGCGACGATGAGGAATTCTGCCGATTTGTTTGCAGGTGTCAGTGCGCGTCAATTGCAATGCCTTGGTTCGCGTGCCGCACGCATGCTCTCGATGTCGCCTCAACTTGAAGACGCAAATGTTGATTTTTTGATGTTCAGGTGGTCAAGCTCATCCATCGGCCTGCGGCAATCGCCGCCACCGTGCCAGCGCAGCAACTCAGCAGGAAGGAGATCGAGTTGATGACCTGCTATAGCTTAGTGCTACGTTTGAACTAGCACGGGGTCTGCAGCACCCTCCTCGCTGCTACCTCTCGAAAGCATATTGGAGGTTTGCCGGGCGCTTTCTTGCAACTGGGGGATTGGACCGTCTTTGACGCGATGGATCCCCGGAGCCCTGCCGACAAGGGTCGATTGAACCATCTTGGGGACGTCTCGGTTGGTGTTGGAGCCCACTTTGGCCGTATCGGGGCTCCCGTTGGATTTCCTTGAACCATGTGGGCGGGTTCCCCTATCCAATCCGATCAGATGTTAGGCCAGGACATTTTGAATGCATACGCCACTGATACGGTTTCATTACTTGTCGCCTTATTTGCATCGCAGAGGCCTCTTAGGAAAATGGTAGGGAGATCTCGGAGCCATCGGGGATTATTTGTGCAGTCATTGGAGTGTTTGCGGGCGGCTTGTAGCAGTGTTAGTGCGGTTTTGGGCTCTCTTGGAGCCGTCTGGAGGCCGAGCATCAACACTGGAGAGACAACGTTTTGTTATTTGATCGACCAGGGTAGCGAGTAATTGCGGGAGGGGGGGGATGGGACAGTTACGAAAATTTTACCAGGCAACGACCAAGCGTTCTATCATGTCCAAAAATGCCGTTGGCACGGTGGCGGATTGACGAGATGGTTGTGAATTTGAAGAAAGAGCAGGAAGACGACGACAAGAAGAAGGCCCCACATGAATTCGTATATGTTCAGTCCGGTGAGCCGCAGCGTTTGTTTGCACGATTTGCGTTGCCTTGGCAAACAGCGATTGTATTCAACTTCATTTGTTTACTGTCGGCACCGTGCCTGGCGCGTTTTGAAAGATGTTCTTCGATGGATGGGCGAGAGTATGGACAGCAGTGGTGGAATGAAAGGGCAGGAATATTCCTCTTATACAGATCCACTCGCTTCCCCCCCCTTCCCCCTCCTCTGACTGTTTTCTGCTGTACTGGGGGCGGGGAACGGGGAGTAACGAGGTGGACCTTTATGTTTTGCCCGCCAAAGGGGCGAGTGAGAGAGCGAAATGCAGGGGCGGGAGAACACAACCTTAAAGCGTGCGTGCTGCAAGTTGGACCACGGCGCGCGGTGCGGCGGGGGATGAGCTCGTGAGGCGCATTGGACAGTTTCCCCGTGGTAAGTCCTTAATTGGTGGGTTCCCATATCTGTCAACCAGCCCGCGCAGTAAATAATCATTCCCCCCTTATTTGAGGGGGGTTGTCAAAGACTTGTTGGGATTGGGCCATCCTGAAAAGTGGGGTTCTGAGGGAAATGGTTCCCGTTGTTGTTGTTCGCCGTTGTCGGCCTCCTGGGGCCCCTACCCAGGACCCGCAAACGGCTCGGATGGAAGACCTGTCCTCGAGCAGGCCCAGGGTCCGGGGCTTGTTTCCCTCGGGACTCTCTTCTGTCCTGGCAATGGCGTGGACGCGGACCTGCGGAGTTCGGATCATGCAGGCGTGATCATGGTTGTCCTCTGGTGTTCGCCGCGCTATGCTGGGCTGAGAGAGGAGGACGGCGCCAGCGGCAACGAGTCATTTGATGCTGCGTCGACTAGTTTTGTTGTTCGACGCTTGTCTCATGCAATTTCAATGATGTGTCCTGTGCCGCATCGGCTTGGTTATGTCTTCCATGTTCTGCGTGCTTGTAGTCTGCAACATACCTGAATGGCCAGTCTCAGCTCCATCGTGGTAGCCATTGCCAGGAGTACTGCGAAGCTGAGCTGGACAAGACTGAGGATCAGAAGAAGGAGCTTGAGCGCGACATCGAGGTGAGCAGCTCCCCTCGACTTGCCCTGCTTGTGGAGCGTATGTTCCCGATGCGTGCGATTACCTTCCGTTTGCGCGTGTGTTTCGCCCACGCAAGTGGGCCGCAGAGGTTTATCACGACCCTGCAAAGGTTCTGCGTTTCCCCTTGTTTTTCCGGCGCAGATGCTTTCGAGTGCGCATGGTTGTCCCTGGAGGCGATGGCGCCTGCGACGTGACCACGAGCCGGTCGTGAGGGTGTGCACTCGCGCAGAGAGGAGGAGCGCATTTCTGTTTGTGCAGTGTTCGCTTGGACCTGCCATTTATCCTGGATTCCATGGTTCAGGCGGACGCGTGCATTGGTTGCGCCCGCGGCCCAGATGCCTTGTGCAGTCTGGTGATCCGTCGGTGCTGCGGGAGGAGAGAAGCGGGGCAAAGGAAGTGCGATCATACTCTGGCATACGGCGCGCGTCGCTCGTGTGTTTTCATGAATCGCGCGTTTGGGAAATGGCGTGCTCGGGCAAGGCCGTGCGACTCTAGTCTGCGGTCTCTGCTGAGCCTCGCGTGCAGGTTGCAAGCGCGATGCATTTGTTATGTTACCGTCGCCTGCGGTAAAGGGGTGGATGTCCTCTGGCCCGCCACGCATTATTGTCCCTGAAGATCGTGACACTCTGGTTGCCGAGCATGCTTGAATGTTGTTCTCGGTCATGTGGTCACGAAGGGTCTTTCACGACACGTTCGATGTAATCTAATGTAGATTCCTACAGGTGTCAACTACGGCGATCGAGGAGCTCAAGGGTGCCATCGCGACCTGGACCGAGGAGATTGCATCGCTGAAGGATGCTCCTTGCATGCGTCGCCTGTGTCATGTGAATGTTGGTCTGTGATGCCAGGTTATCGGAAGGGCTCGGCCCTCTGCCGCCGCCCCCCCCCCTGCTCTGATTGCCGGCAGGCCTGGTTCTCGGAGTAGTCGTGCGGTCGGGCCAAGGTGTAAGAGCGAGGTAGGTTCGGTGAGAGTGCTCCAATGTTCCTCGTGTTTGTTGAACGTTTCTGTGCGCCATTGGGTAGAGTACCCTCGCATGTTCCTCGGCTTGGCCAGCAGAGAGTCTCATGTTCTTGAAGGATATCCTTGTGTCCTAGGCCTGGCTGTATGCAGATGGATTATTTCATAGTAGATTCGAGTGTTTTGTTGCTGGTTCAGGGCTGGGTTGTGCACTTGGTTGAAGAGGTGGAGGAGGAGATGAAACAGCACAATAACATACTAAAACATGACAGGACGAGGGTAAGGCAACGGCGGACGAACTGGTTTCCCATAGGAAAAAAGGGCAACACTGTGAAGAACAGGGTTCAAGGTTTGGCGTGAACGTTTTCACCGTCTTTAGATGTTGCCATTTCAGTGCTGGCGCCAGTTCAGGGCTGGCTCTTGCACGCAATCCTCATTAAGCTAAGCAGGCGGAACATAAGACGAGGGATCGAGGAAGCGGAACAGGATGGGGAAGGCCAGATTAATCGTCGCGAGAAGGAGGAGTAAACATAATACAAGCCTAAGAGATTTGTTCGAGGTTTGTCGTGTACGAGTTGTACGCGATAGCCGTGCTAAAGTTGCACTGATTCAGAGCTTGGTCGTATACATCATGTTTGGTTCAAATGCTGGTGTGCAAGTCTGGTCAAGGCTAGGTTGAAGTGGAACGATCTATGCTGGCCTTGGGAGAGCACTTCTGACTTCTGTCGTAATTTGCGAACAGTGTTGGCCTTGGGAGCGCGCATCTCAATCGTTCTTTTTTGAGTAATGGTGGTCGCGAGAGCGAGCATATTTCGGAGCGGGTTATGGTCTCGGGTGTGCGCATCTGTCGTGGTTGATACGATGTTGTGGCCTCCGGTGCGCGCATCTGTTGTATTTGTAAAGTTGTGGCTCGGGAGCGCGCGTCCGTCGTAATGTAAAACTGATTGCGGTCCTGGGAATGCTATGTGACCTCGCGGGTTCACATCAGGAGTAATTCATTAGTACTTGACAATGGGTCGTGCCCCTGGACTAGCAGCTTGCTGTATTGCTAAGGCCTTACGGCCGGTGCCGCCGATCCTGAAGATGACGACGACGATTACGAGGAGGAGGAGGAGGAGGAGGAGGAGGAGGAGGAGGAGGAGGGGGATTAAGGTGGAAGGGAGCAGGAGAAGGCGCAGGACATGTTCCCCATGTGGGCCGAGGGAGTCGTAGCAGAGAGACAGGAAGCCTTGTGGCCTGCGGCCCTTCCCGCCACCGTGCTGGGGTTTGGTTGAAAGGCCTCTTGGATGTTTTCGGGCCTGTTGGGACCTCTGTTGGGCCTCTTCAGGGTCTCTTGGAGGCCTTTTCGGGCCCCTTGAGGGGCTCTTGCGGTCTTTCGGGGGCTTCTTGGGGCGGGAAGCTCGAAATGTCGGTTCGTGGTCCTCTGGACTAGCAACTTGCTGTATTTGATCGTGTTCGGGGAGGCACCAGAGATCGAGAGGGAAGTTCGTCCGGTGTTGGCGAAATGCCCTTGTGGCCCCGGGCCCCGGGCGGGTCGCGCGTGCTACAGCTGTTGCAACCTCGGAGCGAGGAGCCAGGACGAGTCTCGAGTGTAAGTCGGACACCTTGGGGCCGCGGAAGCGGAGACTGGCACTGGCCCTGGGGGGGTCATGCGTGCTACAGCTTTTCAACCTCGGAGCGAGGAGTCAGGATGTGTGAATTGGAAATTCTGACACCGTGGAACCAGGAATTGGTACTGGAGCCTAGGAGCCGGGGATTGAGACCTGCGTGTTTGAAGCTTCTTGCTCGCGGCCTGGTGGTCCCTGCGGGGGACGCTGGCGGATACCAGCCTTCCAGCCAGCTCATCTCCGTCAGTAGTTGTCATTGTTCCACTTCCCGAGCTGACATTATGTTTGGGCGTGCTTAAGCAGTTGTTGCGATGGGGCATTGGTTCGACTGGTTCAAACGTCGGCGGGGCGGACGAGGGTTGGATAGGATGGCTGTAAAGGGAGGTGATCCTTTCAGTCCATGCTGGCCCGTAGGAGGGGGAGGACTTTGCCTCACATCTTAACCTGTTGGCGACCCCTTGTCACAGAGTAGGACGAGGGGTAAGGAGAAGGGAGGGCAGAGGATGAGGAGGAGGAAGAGGAGGTGGAGGAGGAGGTCGACGAGTAATGGAGAGGAGGAGCAGGACAGGGGATGATGGAGGAGAGGCAATTTGTTGTTGCTGTTTGCCCTGGGGGCAGCGCGGGCGGGCCGACGACCTCCGCCTGGCCAAGGGGGGGGGGACCCGTGACGATTGCCACATCATCGTCGTTGTCGTCGTCGGCACCGACGTAGACGTCGACGAGAAATGCCTGCTCCTCCTCCTCCTCCTCCTCCTCCTCCTCCTCCTCCTCCTCCTCCTCCTCCTCCTCCTCCTCCTCCTCCTCCCCCCGCCCCCCTCGTCGACGCACCCGAGGGGCACGGAGGACGGCGGGCCACCGCGCCCCCATCCAGTCAGAAAGGGAGGGGGCGGCGGCAGAGGCGCGCTGAGCTTGGCGCGATGCTCGGAGGAGGGCGAGTTGAGACAGAGGGAGGTTGCCTTCGGGGGGGGCCCTCGTCGCCACGGTTGGACGCAGCTCGGAAAAGTAAGGGAGAGAAAGACAAGGGTGCGTGCGACGACGACGACGACGACCTCGACGACGACGAACGACGACGACGACCCCGTACCGCGTCGCCGCTCTGCAGCGCTGCGCCCCGAACTCGCTATGCTTGTGGAGGGCGATCAATGGAGAGGAAGCATGTTGCCAGTTAATTTCCAGATGTCTAGAAAATGTGTTACGACTGTTTTGAACATGTAGAAACATGTTTAAACCATTTCCAGGACATGTTCCCTACATTTGAAACACATGTTTGATTCGATGATAGGACTGTTAGGGTGTCCATTGTCGTGGCATATACAACGCTATGCGGCCTTCACCTGCGCACATGCGCCCACTGCTGCACCCGATCCGGTGCAGGCCCAGGTTCCGCCAGCCGCCGCGGCTTTGTCGCGGGAACTGCTGCGCCGCGGCGGCGGCTCGCAGCCAGGCTGGCGGAGGCGATGCAGCTCTGTCAAGAGCTCGCGTGGTGCCCACAGGTTGCTCAGCAAACGTGGGCTTCATTTGCTGCCATCTGATGGTCGCCGTGCATCGCGCCGCGTCCATCGGCTCCGATGATGGACTCGACTCTTTCGTGCCGATGGATGCGCGCGTGGGCGCGGCCGAAAACAGGGGGCACTGTGCCTCCGGGCACGTCGGCAGGCGGCGGGCATGGACATAGGTGCGCCCCAGGAGGGCCAAATATATCCATATCCACCGCCTGCTGCATGTTCGAAAATCGATCTCCCAGGTAGCAGTTCTGGATGCGTAAATCAACGCCTCGCACGCCAGAGGTCGCGAGGGACCAGCCCTCCTGTCAGAGCAGCGTGGCTCCCCAGGAGGTCTGGGCTCCCTCCCCGGGACCGCAACTAGCCCAAAATTTGCGGCCATTGTTTTTCCACACCCTGACAATATTTTTTTGTTCGGTGAACCCGTAAAGTTTTTCCCAACCATCCTGCGGTGTTGGGTCCTCGTTTTGAAGAGACAGCGCCCCGCGTTCACTCCTCCTCCCGCTGCCCCCTCCCTCCTGCCATCATCATCATCATCATCATCATCATCATCATCATCATCATCACCACCACCACCACCACCACCATCATCATCATCATCATCATCATCATCATCGTCATTATAACCATCATCATCGTCATCATCATCATGGGGTCACGAAACGTGTGCAACCGTTTCGGTATCACCATCATCATCATCATCATCGACATCATCGACGTCATCATCACCACCATCATCATCATCGCCATCATCACCCGTCACATGTTTCGCGGCCCCATAGGGATCTCCACCGAAGGCCTCAGTGCCACCGCCCGCATGCGTCAGCCACACCCACTTCGGCACACCCCTCACACGTTTCGTGGC